AACCCCACTACAGGAGTAGGAGAAGCTCAATTAGTATATAAGGTCATAGAAAATTAAGAAATTTGTCAAAAGTGTTTAGTCGCGTTTGCCCTAATACCTTAAGGAACTTGTTCTGACTGCATCAGCAAACTTAACAAGTTGGCTTAAGGTATTAGAATTATTTTGTTAAGATTAACAAAAACGGTTGAAAAGTTATTAAGTGTAGATACATTTAATACTTTTCTAGTGATTTTGAATGCAGAAGCATTTAAATAATTTAATACTTTTCTAGTGATTTTGAATGCAGAAGCATTTAAATAATTTTGGACTTAGTGATTTTGAATGCAGAAGCATTTAAATAATTTCGGACTTAGTGAAATTGAATGCAGAAGCATTTAATAACTTTTTTGAACTTTGTGAATTAAATGCGGAGGCATTTAATTAGAAAGCTGTGTAAACTCTTAGTGTAATAAAGTAACTCTGACTTTGTTAATTTTACTCCCTGTGTACGCGTAGCATAGTTTGACTTAGTGACTATATATATTTATATCTGTTCTTTCCGTATTCTGTACCTACACACCCAAAAATAAAGTGACGGTAGTGTTGAAATTTGTGTTCATTCATTGATTCTAACCCTACCCCATTACACAATGAAGTATAACAAACTTGATATTTATTTAATTAAATGTAAGTTAAATGTTATTGTATTTATATAGCTTGGGAAAGTGACGACTTTGCCGCACAGGTTGTTATTTTTCTCCTTGCCGGTTTTGACACAACTTCTTTGTTATTGTGTTTTGCTTGCCATGAACTCGCAGTAAATCTCGATGTCCAAAAACGGTTGCAAAGAGAAATCGATGAAGTCAAAGCTCAGAATACAAAAATTACTTACGATGTGATACATAATATGAAATATTTGGATATGATCATTTCAGGTAGACTATTTACTTTTCTGTTATTTTTTATAAGCGCTTTATACTTATAAATTTTATGATTTGATATATTTATTTTTGAGAAGAAACTCTCAGATGTTGGCCACCTGGTATATTTCTGGATAGAATGTGTGTCAAACCATACACTCTCACCGATAGTAGTAATAAAATAAAAATTCAGGTATGCATTTCTTTCTGGTGCTTTCTAATATCAGAGATAGTTTATAGCCTTTTATTTTAGTTGAAACCTGGAGATGCTGTATGGATACCAATATCAGGAATACATAAGAATCCAGATTATTTTACGAATGCGGACAAGTTTGATCCAGAGAGATTTTCGGATTCAAACAGAATAAAAATGCAGCCGTTCACTTATACTCCATTTGGAATTGGGCCGAGAGGCTGCATAGGTAGGTGTTAAGATCCCACATATTTGCAAAGATATTTGCAAATAAATAAATATATATATATATATATATATATATATATATATATATATATTTATATATACATTAGGGCGGGTCGATTTGTATGGGTAAAAAACAGTCACATAGGCACATATGATTTTCGTATACTAGGGATCAAAATAATATACTTTGCCAATGAAATGAATTCTGATGTCCCGTGCATTCACCCAAAGATGTTTTGGCTCATTTAAAGCGCCTCAATAATGTCCAAATGTATGACCGACCCCCAGTAACTTTGGAAGGCCGATCTACCCATGCCCATGGTTCACCCCCTGGGACCTCCCTTTAGAGGTCCTCCATACAAAAGTTGCATTTTGGGTACTTCAACATGACAAAAATCTGCGATTTATTTTTATTATAAGATTTATCTAATCATAAGATAAGTAAATAAAACTATGTAAAACTCATAAACTATTGTTTAAAGTCTTTTTTAGTTTCAAGTCTGGAAAAGTTTGCACGGCCGTCTAATATCGTCGCCGTAACAGCCTCTAGCTAGCATAGAAGCCATTCTGAATCGAATGAGACCAAATTTAGAAAAAGTATGTGTGTGTGCGTGTGTTTTCTCAAAAACGGCTGGACCGAATTTTGACAACCTGAAAATTTTGCCGCTCTCTATTCGTACCGCCCTAGGCCCGGCTTTCACGGACCTATGGGTTAATCCAGCACTGTTTGTACGATGGGAAAATTGAAGGGGTGGACAACCCTTGATATTTTTATTAAGTAAAATTCATGATTTATCATAAGGTCATGACAATATGAGTTAAAATTCAGTAAAAAAAATAAACACTTCTTTCCTGAAACCGTGGTGAAAAATTACTCGTTTACTAAAATGGCTATTATGAAATAGAGTTTTGTGAAAGGCTGGTAAAAATTTAGAGTTGTATGCATCTTTTAATTTTGCATTATAAAAATTGAAATTTAAAAAAATCATTCCAAAATTTGAAAAAAGTTAGGGGTAAACAACCCTTGATAAAACTAGTTTTTTAAAGTAAAGAAAGTTTCAGATATTTTTCAATTTCAAATTATAAGAAAATTAAGATAAAGAAAATCGGTCCCGAAATTTGAAAAAAATGTTAGGGGTGAACAACCTTTGATAAAAATAAATAAAGTATTTTGAAGTAAAAATAGTAGTATGTGTAAAGAATTTTTCAATTCCACATTAAAATAAATAAAATTGGTACCAAAATTGAAAAAAATGTTAGGGATATACAACCATCGATAAAAATAAATGTTTTTTTAAGTAAAATTTAAGCTAAAATTGTGCACAAAATATTCAAGAAAAAAGTTACTTCATGCCAAATAACTTGAATATGATTTTAAATCGCAAATACTATTCAAGAATACAATAATAAACAGTTGTTTTAAATGATTTTTTTTTATTCAATAAGAGCCTTATTGTTTTATTTTATTTTTCATATCTAATATTTTTTTATTAATATGTTATATTTTATTTTGCTTTTGAGTCTTTTAAAAAATTCTATTTAATTTTCTTTATAATTAACTTGAATATAGCTTTTATAATTTTAGTGAAATTGAAAATGAAAGATTGAAAATAATGATGTGAGTAGCTATTTTAGCACATCTTTGAAATTTTGTGTTTAGTCGTTTTCTCATTCATAACGCTTTATTCTAAATAAGCATATTCGATGTATATATAATTTTCAAATTCGAGGCTTAGTTGTATTTTTATTGTCAATTAATGGCAAAAATTTATCCGACAAAAGATCGGAATCCGGAACAAAATTTGTTTTACGAAAAACCCACAAGAAATCCGGGACTGTTCCGGGCAAACAGGGAAACCTATGGTAACCCTACTAAAATTTCTATGAAAATAATAGGGATTGGTGCTAAAAAAGTAAAAATTTAAGTTTATCTATATTTTTTAATTCCACATTACAAAAAAATAAAATACTTATGTCAAAAAAAGGATAACTTTCATTACTTAGATAGTTACCGTTTATCAGACTTACTAAATAATACGCATATGAAATTTAGTAAGAATTGGTAAAGCCGTTTCGGAGGACTATGGAGACAAACATTGTGACTCGGAAATTTTATGTATAAGATATATATTGCCCGAAAAATAGATACTTCTGTGTGCCTTCCATAGTCCAGTCATTTTAGTAAGTTAACTTCGGAATTCGAGATACCCAGCTGTAAGTCTGTAAATACTTGATGTATATTGACACCCTAAAGGTTGCCAAAAAACCTACATATGGTATTGACACCCTACCATATGTAGGTTTTGAGACAACTTTAGGGTGTCAATATACAAAAGTATTTACAGACTTACAGCTGGGTACCTCGAATTCTGAGATTCTTAGCTAATTTAAGCTTAAATGACAGGTCTACCGGATTACGTACATGCCACGTGCGAAAGTGGCGGCGCTACGTAACCATTATTACGTCTTGTGGTTTACTGGGGTACTACTACCGGCGTAGATTACTTTTACCTGAAGATGATATATATGGAGAAAAAAACTTTATTGAAAATTTCGCTGGCACTAAATTGGCTTTGGGAAAATGATTTTTTTAAAAAAAGTTTATTTATATGGCCCATAGAAACACAATTGTAAAGTATCCCAATTTGACCCTCCTTATACATATTACTTATATAACCGTGATTTTTACATGAAGTTTAATTAGTAATATTTGGATACCATGGTTTGTCATCAGTGTAATTACACTGATGAGATGAGATTAGTATTATAATTTAAATTATATTATAATGAAACTTGAATATGAGATTTTAACTATTTTCTCATTTTTATTTTGCTGCTTATTGTTTGTAAAAAAACAGATTGCAGAATAAAGTAAAATAAAAAGAAAGATATGTGTAGCGACTCTCTAATTGACCACCATAGGAATGGCAACCAATGATATCATGGCCAATGGAAAACGTCCAGGTTGTTAAGGTTAGAGTATAAAACTCAGACCCATTATTGAATAATATTCATTTTCCACTTATCACTTGTATTGTAACAATATTACATGTAGTGTAAATATATAAATAAATATATTGTTATCAAACTATGTTTACCTAAATGTGAAACGTCGTTCAACGTTAAATATAGATAATTGCGGTGCTTATTATTATAACTGACAACAGCATGAATGACACACTTATTTAATTTCTATTTGCAGGTTCAAGGTTTGCACTTCTGGTAGCTAAAATACTTGTATTTTATGTCTTAGAAGCATTCGACTTAAAAGCTTCTTCTAAGACTCAGGTGCCTATCAAATTGAGCAAAGCTTATCTCACTCCAACAGCTGAACATGGGTTTTGGCTAGACTTTAAACCAAGAAAAGTATCTCACCGGTAAGATTGACCTTGACAATGCGCATTTACAATTAAAAGCAATTACATTATCTTGTAATTGTGTTCATTGATTTCTCAGTTATATTAGTCTAATAAACTGTACATTTTGTTGTAGCCTGTATATATACTCGTATATATATATATATATATATATATATATATATATATATATATATATATATATACATACATGCTGTAGGTTAGATAGCAACTATTTTTAGACATTAAGTGAAATAATATAACAACTTTAAATAAAATATTTTTTATTTTATATTGTACAAATGATTTTCTAATTTAATATTTTTATGCACACTTATTTTTCTTAACCTTTTCTGTATTATGTGCTATAATACATAAGTTTTCTGGTGTAAGATCTGTAGAAACATAATAAGTAAATTTACAAGTATAACCCTCTTCTTCCAAATATTTTTTTCGTCCAAAATCTATTATATGCTTAGTTTTTCTTCCAATCAGCTCTCGTTCTTTCTGAGTCATTCCAAACCTATTTCGTCTGCAACAAAAAAACGTGACCATTACATGTAAACAAATAATTAAACTTTTACTGTTGCTCTTATGCAAATGCAAATACAAAAAATTTCTAAGTAATATAAATCCGCAAACCTTGATGCTTCATAGAACATCAAAAATTTGTTAAAAATTAAATTAAACTTTCCTTAGATATTAATCATTTAAAAATATTATCAACTCCTTAAGAGGCTTATTAGATTTAATAAATTTAACTACAAAATAGCTATTAGCATCCAAATTCCATACTTTGTGTTCGATTGTGACGATGAACATTTATTAGTATTAGCTCCGTCGACACAATTATCAATATATTCTTCAACATGATTTTTACTTTCATTAGAAGTTTTCAATCTTCTCTCTCTACTTTGTCCAGATCCACATGTAGCCCAACTTGATATTGCGCACATGATATCAAATTCTTTCTTTCCAATACCTACAAACTGCAAACATCTTTATTATATTTGATCAAATGATTAACTTAACATATCGTTTGTATACCTCCATCCATTTTCTACCAGTATACGTAAGCCAAGTACATCTGTGGTGACAACAAAATGCTAATACAATTCCCGACAAAGAAACTTGATCATGTCGGGTCATGCATCGAAAACAAAGATCTGAAATGAAATAATGAAAATAAAATTCATAAAATATAAGTACAGTCATTCATATGTTATTACCATTAAAAGATTTATAAAAATTATTAGTAATGTTTGCATATGCACTTAAAAATATATATAAAGCTGAATGATTTTTGAAATCAATTTTAGGGATTGAATAACCAATTCCCATATTAATGATGATAAGAAGCAATGAATAAAAATCAAATAGAGAGTAGCACAAATATTATTGAAAATTAGAGTATACCAGTAGCAGCTCCGCATAAATGCTTTCCAATTGCAATTACATTTTCAGCTTTAGATATATAATCAATTTCATCTAAAACCAAATCCGATATATCTGCTCTTATTCTATGAACTCGATTTTTCATATCTTCAAGTTTATTATCTTGCTTGTGTCTATGACTTGCTTTATCTATCAATAGAACATCTGTTTCTTCAATGTTTTGAATTATTTTTGCTATCCAATAAGTCATTTGACCTTTTCCACCACCAAATTCAATGAAGCACGTTTTTGGAACAAGAAAGTTTTCACTCTACAATTGTTTTAAATGTTTTATATAAATATTTCAACTAAAATATATATGTATGGAACTCACTTCAAGCACCCCAGCAAGTGCAGACGTTTGGATTAAATGCCTTCGTTTATTATCCCCATATATCTCATTATTACATTCACTTTCTAGATATTTATGTTTGTAATTACAATATTTTATATCCTCAGCAAAACATTCTAAAAATATTACAATATTCTCTTCAATATATGATATATGCTATCAAAATTTTAAAAACAGCAATCAAATTCAAAATGTGTTCCATCTCTTACAAAATAGAAAACTATTAATATATACGTCTAAGAGATTATATAAATAATTATAGAGCAGACTATTAATAATTATATTAGCAGACTAAAAAACAAAAGAAATGAACACAATGTTGATTTACAACAAGTTATGCATACACAATTGACCATGCAATTAAAATTTGATTAAGCATACGTGTGCTGTGGTATAAGATGAGTAATATGAGGGTAATGATCAACTACCTGTGTAAAGTTTATTAATTTTATCAACAACTTCTAATATTTCATCTGTGTCAATATCCGATAACTCTATTCGATTCACATCTTGTTGAGAAACTGGATCATAGCCTAAATTTACTCCTTTATTTATGTATTTGGGTAAAAAGGTCTCTCTTGCATTGCATATTTTTAAGTGTTTCGATAATTTACTCTTATAACAAGAACTACAACATAATGTGAAAAAATTATTCTTTTATCTAATGCTAATAGAGAGTAATGTGAACTGGTGAGCATTTTATATAAAGCATTTGTTTATATATATATATATATATATATATATATATATATATATATATATATATGGGTGTGTGTTGATAAAACAAAAAACAGTTAATCTGCATCCATTGAGATAATAATATAAATAAAATTGAAATGTTTTTTTAAAGTAAATTTAATAGCCCCATACATTTCGAGTCCCAATTTAGTAAATCTAACATAAAAATATTTAATGTAAAAATGAAACTGGAAAACCATTACATTCCATTTTTGTATTTTTGTTTCCAAATAGGAAGATTCAAATTGGAACTCAAAAAATATGGGCTTATTAAATTTATTTCAAGAAATACATTTTAGTTTTCCTTTTATTATATCATCTGGATGAATGACTGTTAAAAAGTTTGTTTTATCAACATATTTATTACCATCTGAACAGTTATTATATATATATAACATGATTATTATTCTACAGCAGAAGAAAACAAAAATCATTAATTAATTAATTATGAAATCAAATTAATGTTGAAGTGTGTAATAAACATATTAATCTCTATTATATAGATAATACCGTTGATGAATACTAAAAATCTGGCACCTGATATTTACTGGAAGTATTTTAGCAAAAATTATGTGAATTAAATTAAGTGAAGTTTATAGATTTTCTTTGCATTTAACCTTGGATGCAATACGATAAATTTGTATTATTAATTTTTATATGCAATTTTAAATCATTCAAGGCTTCTAATATAGAAAGTAATTTCTTACATATACATTTTAGCTTAATAAATTTGCAAATTATAATATAAATGGTATTGCATTTAGCAAAGTGATATTTATATATTTAACATATGCAAAGTTATCTTTATTATACTTTTATGCCCATTTTATTTAAAAAATCTTTGTTTAAGAAATATGAAATATATTGTTCTGATAATCCTAGAATTTTGTTTCAATAGAACAGATTCACTTAAATAATGAATATTAAATTACTAATATTTTGCACTAGTTTCGTGATATTTTCAGATCTATTGTATGGCGATTTTACTAATTTTAGATTAGATAAAGTTTCTAATGCTAATTTTCATAGATTTACTATGTTTCTTATTCTATTAGGGTTTTGCTCAATACTCAAACCATGTTATAGCATACTCGGGCTTTAAAAGTACTGTCTCATGAAGGGGATGATCTCAACTCTTAAACCGAGTTAGACCGATTACCTGTATTAAACTTTTCTTCTATTAAAACATTACAAAAAAAATGCATATAGAAATTTATAAAAAAATGTGGTGTTTAAGCTTCAGAAAAGCAAACCAGTCCACAACATTTAAACATTCAAAAATGCTCACCAATTCTAAATAATTAATTTATTAACTGGGTAGGATCCAATGGGCAGGGAACTCGAAGATATTCATCAGAATTATCATTTGTATGTGGAATATTTGATGGTAGATGTTCACCACAATAATTATATCCAGCTTTAAGTGTCATACGACAATATCGTTTTTTTCGTACAACGAAATATTGGCAGTGGTTACCCCCAAAAGTTGTGGGCGATTGATCGGTTGCTGACGATAGTGATGACTCCATTCTGTAAAATGCGAAGAAGCAGTACTTAGTTATAGTCATAGATTTTGGTTATAGGTTATGGTAATATCAATACCTCGAAAAAAATTTTTTTACATACTCGATCAAAAGAAACGTTTTTGTTGAACGCGAATTACTTATTGCATTATTATCTATTTATTTATTATTATCTTTGTTATCTACATATACTGTCAAAAAAAGTTCAACAAAATTGACACTTCACTAGTGAAGGGCATATGCCTAGACAATATATTAATATAGATGTTCCTCTCTCGGGATATTTTCGTTCAAAGATCTAGAGATTTTAACGGCCGTAAAGTCGCTGTGGCACTCAAATCGCATGTCGCATCATAGATAAACAAGTATCTTGCTTATAAATGCATTCAAATTAAAGCGCCTAATTTACACGGAGACGATTTACACGGCTGTTCTATGAGCGCGAGCGTGTACTACTTGCTCAGATTATTTCAACTTTTGAATGTGTTCTACCCTATGGACTAAAACTAAATTTTGGATAGCGTAAGAAAAATTAATAGCCTTTCTAACGAAGATAATTAAAAATAGACTAATTTTTTTAACAACCGCACTACCCGAAAATTTGGAACAAAAAATTATTTTCACTTTTTCATAGACTAACAAATAATTATATATGGCCCGAAGGTGTTAATTGTTTGAAAATGCTGTAATTTGTATATCATGGATCCATGCCTTTTCACTAAAATCAAACGTGTAAAAAACATACACATTTCCTATCAATATTTTATCAATATTTTATGTTAAAAAGTCAAGGATCCATGCTTTTTCACTTAAATCAAACGTGAAAAAAACTTTTTTCTCCAATATTTTTTCCCCAAAATTTACGTTAATTAAACTGTGTTATAAATATATTTATTTATGTAATGTTTGCTTATGATGATTTTTTTTTCTAGGCTTTGAATGCTGATGATGCTTTTCCATAAGACGATAAAGACGTTCCAGACTTTGCTGCTTCAAATGCTTTTGATGCTTTTCAATGAGACGAAAAACTTCTTCCAGACTTTGTTCCTAATGAGTTCTTTCCAGACTTTGCCGCTTTAAATAATTTGGAGCTTACTTATTAGTGATAAAAATTAGGCGTTTATATTTATTTATTTATGTAATTCATTTGACTTATATTGTTGTTTCTTTATTTCCAGACTTTGATACCTTGCCAAACAAAGCTTTGCTGACTGACTTGTATGCTGACTACTTGCTGTGCTTGCTTCAATCGATATTATTAAATTGTAAGTTTCTAGAAACGAGACTTTTATTTTCCATGCAATTTATTTTGATACTTATGTTGTTTTTTCTCTTTGTTCACATATCGATCGATCGATTGATGATGATGAGCAGCCGTCGTCGCAGACTTCGGAGGCCTCCAAAGTTCTTCATCCTATCCCAGAATTACATATTTCATGTATACCAATTATATCGTTTAATCGGGTTGAGAAACAAATTTACTGTTACTAGTAAACAAAGCGTTTTAGGTATGAATTTTTTTACTGTGCTCCGAATTGAATGAAATTTTGGAATTAGGTTTATCTTACCCTCAAGTTCAAAAGTGAAAACAATTCGGGTTGCGCCATTACCCCCCGGGGGGATGACACCCCTTCTCAATTGTGTAATTATATTTTTTCAAAATAACGTCGGAAATCGATAGAAAAACTAATTATAAGAAAAAAATGTCTTTTATAGTTTTTCAAAAAAACTAATACTTTTCAAGTTACTGGCCTCTAAAGATTCATACATTTTTGGCGTTTTTCTTCGTTTTTTCTGCAAATATCTCCTAAAATATACATTTTAACGAAACTCATGTAATAAACAAAATAATGTCAATAAAAATATTAATAAATCGGTATTACATAAAGTGCTCTAAGAAAAATATTAAGCAAGACTTGAAAGAGCAAAGTCGATTTTTATTTCGTTCAAGATTTAATTGTTGTATTTAAAGCCATCTAGTGTAGAGGTTTTACATTTTATGCATTTCGGTGAAATTGGGTTTTATACAACATAAGCTGAGCTCACTCACTCATAAGCAACATGAGTGTTTTTTTGCGTGTAAAATGAGTGAGCTATCATGCAAACAAGAAGCATATACGAAGTTTTTTTCTTTTAAATCATATGGTTTAATGAGCGCCATTTCCAGCAGAATTAAAGTAGCTCACATTCCATCTAGAATTCACTTCATTATAGACATCTTGATGAATTCTAGCAGATTCACTACTTTAGTACAAACTATTTTCAGAAAACTCACAATTTTATAAAAACTTGTTTTTCCAATTTGCGCGGCCGCGCAGACTTTAGCCATTCACAACTCTGTCAATTTTTGTGTGACAGAAAAATAATAAAAAACAAAACTAAGCCAGAAAGTTCCCTGTGATTTTTATCTATATGCTTTTATACGTATCTTTTATTCTTTTTGAGATATAATGAAAATAATTCCAATTTTTAAAAAAATTGGAAAAAAAAAGTTTTTATAAAATCGTGAGTTTTCTGAAAATAGTTTGTACTAAAGTAGTGAATCTGCTAGAATCCATCAAGATGTCTATAATGAAGTGAATTCTAGAAGGAATGTGAGCTACTTTAATTCTGGTGGAAATGGCGTCCATTAAACCATATGATTTAAAAGAAAAAAACTTCGTATATGCTTCTTATTTGCATGATAGCTCACTCATTTTACACGCAAAAAACTTGTAACAGCATCATTTTAAAGCTTATGTTGAGCAGTATAAAACCCAATTTCACCGAAATGCAAAAAATGTAAAACCTCGACACTAGATGGCTTTAAATACAATAATTAATTAAATCTTGAACGAAATAAAAAACAACTTTGCTCTTTCATATCTTGCTTAATATTTTTCCTAGAACACTTTATGTAATACCGATTTATTAGGATTTTTATTGACATTATTTTGTTCATTACATGATTTTCGTTAAAATGTATATTTTAGGAGATATTTGCAAAAAAACGAAGGAAAACGCCAAAAATATATGAATCTTTAGTGGCCAGTAACTTGAAAAGTATTAGTTTTTTTGAGAAACTATAAAGAGGTGTCATACCCCCGGGGGGTGATGGCGCAACCCGAATTGTTTTCACTTTTGAACTTGAGGGTAAGATGAACCTAATTCCAAAATTTCATTCAATTCGGAGCACAGTAAAAAAATTCAGAGGTTATACCCATTTTTCCTCTCTGTTTACTGCACTATACGTAGGATCTACTACGCTGATGTATTATTGTGGTGCTTGAGTTGCTTTTTTGTTGCCTGTCATTGAGCGGCACATAGGATCAACTTCTGTGTCGTTAGCAATACTCATTGATCGACTTCTACACAATGGTTAATTTCAATTTGCTATATAATATAGGGTTCGAGAAAACTTCTCGTCGATTTGCATAACAAGCAAGTACAAGAGAGCAAGTGTTTAATGAATCAATTAATTTGTCAGTCAGTCATTGATTTGAATTGATGATTTGATTAATTGATTGATTGATTGATCATTTGTTTGATTGTCTTCTGTTATGAAGATTTCTATGATGATGAGTTGTTAATATCGGATCATATGCTGAAATACTCGATGTGTCTCTCAATTCAATGTTCAACGATCTTTGTTCAGTATGACATGAAAAAAACGCAAATATTTGACAATAGGCCTTCGTGGAAGAGGCACTATCAAAAACGACAGGCCCTACGTCCTTTCGCGCAGAGGGGGATAAGGAAAGCGCGTCTCCTTTGTGCCTCGAGCCTGTATTTGCGGACGCTGGGGAATTTTTTTTCCCCAATTTTTTTTTTTTTTAAACATTTTTTTTGTATTATTGAATCCTTCATCTTAAGTTTATAATTATGTTAATATGTTTTCAGCGAGTTTTATAATTTAGATCTTTTGAAACTTGTTAATTTATAAAGATACCTATATGTGTATGTGATATTAATAAATTTATATGAAATGTATTCAAAAATTGTCAGTTGTTTTATTATAAATTTGTTTTTATGTATTTTATATTGAGCAAAATAGATTACAAATAGATCTAATTTTTTTTGACCAAAATTTTTTTGTCCAAAATTTTTTTTGTTCAAAAATTTTTATGTCCAAAATTTTTTTGTCCAAATTTTTTGTCCAAATTTTTTTTGTCCAAATTTTTTTTGTCCAATTTTTTTTTGACCAACATTTTTTTGACCAAAAATTTTTTTGTCCAAATTTTTTGTCCAAAATTTTTGTCTAATTTTTTTTGACCAAAAATTTTTTCGTCTAAATTTTTTTGTCGTCCAAATTTTTTTTGACCAAAATTTTTTTTCCAATTTTTTTTTTGTGCAAAAATTTTTTTTCACAAAATTTTTTTCCAAAAAATTTTTTTCCAAAAATTTTTTTTTCCAAAATTTTTTTGACCAAAATTTTTTTTGTCAAAAATTTTTTGGTCCAAATTTTTTTTGACCAAAATTTTTATGACCAAAATTTTTATGACCAAATAATTTTTTTTCCAAAATTTTTTGGACCAAAATTTTTTTGACCCAAATTTTTTTGACCAAAATTTTTTTGACCAACATTTTTTTGACCAAAAATTTTTTTGTCCAAATTTGTCCAAAATTTTTGTCTAATTTTTTTTGACCAAAAATTTTTTCGTCTAAATTTTTTTGTCCAAATTTTTTTTGACCAAAATTTTTATTCCAAAATTTTTTTTGTTCAAAAATTTTTTTTCCCAAAATTTTTTTTTCCAAAATTTTTTTGACCAAAATTTTTATCCAAAATTTTTTTTCACCAAAATTTTTTTTCCCAAAATTTTTTTGACCAAAAATTTTTTGGGCCAAAATTTTTTTGACCAAATTCCTAGATCTAGTCGACTAGCGATCGCGACAGAGCGCTTGCCAAAAAAATTTTAGCAAAAAAATTTTAGCCCAAAAAATTTTTGGTCAAAAATCTTTGAGTTTTTTGACCAAAAATTTTTTGGGCTAAAATTTTTTTGACCAAAAATTTTTTTGACCAAAATTTTTCTGACCAAAATTTTTTTTTCAAAATTTTTTGGACCAAAATTTTTTTGACCCAAATTTTTTTGACCCAAATTTTTTTGACCAACATTTTTTTGACCAAAAATTTTTTTGTCCAAAATTTTTGTCTAATTTTTTTTGACCAAAAATTTTTTCGTCTAAATTTTTTTGTCCAAATTTTTTTTGACCAAAATTT